TTAGTTTTTATTTCATTAAACTGGTGAATCACTTCAGGACAGATTTTAATCAAGGTTAAGGCCTGATCAGCCATCTTCCCACTGTTCTCAGGCACTTTTCTTAACCCAAACAGACTCCTCCCATTTCCAATCACCTGCTGCAAGAGTTGGTGGTGGGAAGGAGGAAACAGAAGTCAAGAGGGGAGGAAGGGTAAAGAAAGGGTGACAGGGAAAAGCCGGAATAAATATTTGGAAGCCCTTGTGCCAGCTGAGAACTGGAGAAGGGAATTGAAACCATCAGTAGAAGATCCTCAGCCTTCTTCCCCCTCCATTCTCCTGAACTCTGGGGCTTCGGGGAGACACAGAACTGGGTCCTCTTTAATTTCGTGTCTTCTCCAATAGGCCTTTTTCATCAGATGTCAGATGGAGACTTAAATGATTTGGCTCAAGATTTAAAAGATTTATACCATTCCCCATATTTTCTGAACTTCTATCCCCTGGGTGAAGATATTGACATTATCTTTAATTTGAAAAGCACCTTCACGGAACCCGTTCTCTGGAGGAAGGACCAGCGCCATCACCGTCTGGACCAGCTGACCTTGAGTGGCCTGCTGGACACTCTTCAGAGCCCCTGCATCATCGAAGGGGAATCGGGCAAAGGGAAGACCACCCTGCTGCAGCGAATCGCCATGCTCTGGGCCTCGGGGAAGTGTGGGGCCCTGACCAAGTTCAAATTAGTCTTCTTTCTCCGCCTGAGCCGGGCCCACGGTGGACTCTTTGAAACCTTGTGTGACCAACTCCTGGATGTACCCGACGCGATCAGAAAGCAGACTTTCATGGCCATGCTGCTGAAGCTCCGGCAGAGGGTCCTTTTCCTCCTGGATGGCTACAACGAGTTCAAGGCCCAGAACTGCCCGGAAATCGAAGCCCTGATAAAGGAAAACCACCGCTTCAAGAATATGGTCGTGGTCACCACCACCACCGAGAGCCTGAAGCACATCAGGCAGGTCGGGGCCCTGACCGCCGAGGTGGGGGATATGACGGAGGAGAGTGCACAGGCTCTCATCCGGGAAGTGCTGCTCAGGGAGCATGCAGAGAGCTTGGTGCTGCAAATTCAGAAGTCCAGGTGCCTGCGGAATCTGATGAAGACCCCACTCTTTGTGGTCATCACTTGTGCAATCCAGATGGGGGAAAGTGAGTTCCACTCCCACACACAGACAACGCTGTTCTGTACCTTCTATGACCTGCTGATACAGAAAAACAAGCACAAACATAAAGGGGTGGCTGCTGGCGACCTCACTCAGAGCCTGGACCACTGCGGAGACCTGGCTCTGGAGGGCGTGTTCAACCACAGGTTTGATTTCGAACCAAAGGACGTGTGCAGTGTGAACGAGGATGTCCTCCTGACAACCGGCCTCCTCTGCAAATACACGGCTCAGCGGTTCCAGCCAAAGTATAAATTCTTCCATCAGTCGTTCCAGGAGTACGTAGCAGGCCGCCGACTCAGCAGCTTATTGGCATCTCGGGAACCAGAGGAGGTGACCAAGGGGAACGGTCATCTGCAGAAAATGGTTTCCATTTCAGATATTACATCCAAGTACAGCAACCTGCTCCTGTACACGTGCGGATCGTCTACCAAAGCCGCCCGGACTGTCCTGAGACACCTGGCAGCCGTGTGTCGACATGGCAGCCTCCCCAGCTTCGCCATCACCAGGAGGCCTCTCTGGAGACAGGAATCTATGCAAAATGTGAAAAGCAGTACTGTGCAAGAAATTTTGAAAGCCATAAACACCAGTTCCTTTACAGAGTGTGGCATCAATTTATTTCATGAGAGTATATCCAAGGCGGACCTGAGTGAAGAATTTGAAGCTTTCTTTCGTGGTAAAAGCTTATATATCAACTCAGAGAACATCCCTGATTACTTATTTGACTTCTTTGAGCACTTGCCTAATTGTGCAAGTGCTCTGGACTTCATCAAACTGGACTTCTACGGGGGAGCCACAGCTTCGTGGGACAAGCCCACAGAGGGCACAAGCAAGACCCACAAGGAAGAGTCCTCTGGAACCTACATTCCCAGCAGGGCTGTGTCTTTGTTCTTCAACTGGAAGCAGGAGTTCAAGGCTCTGGAGGTCACACTCCGGGATTTCAGCAAGTTGAATAAGCAAGATATCAAATATCTGGGGAAGATATTCAGCTCTGCTACAAGCCTCCGGCTGTCCATTAAGAGGTGTGCTGGTGTGGCTGGAAGCCTCAGTTTGGTCCTCAGCACCTGTAAGCACATTCATTCCCTCGTGGTGGAAGCCAGTCCCCTCACCGTAGAGGACGAGCAGCACATCACATCCGTGGCAAACCTGAAAACCTTGAGTATTCACAACCTACAGACTCAACGGCTGCCAGGTATTGTCAACCTCAGCAGTTGAAGCCGTAATGGAACCTGGCTAAGTGCCATGGGAATATTAGGCAGCATATTGTTTTGCTTTACATTTTCTACTATCTTCTCCCAGGTGCCAGGACTTGGAGAGGAGGTGGGAGGATTGGAGGAGGGTCTGTGTGGGAGGAAGGCTGTCAGGTTGGGAGGTCCGAGGGAGGATTTCCAGGGCTGAAGCTATATACTAGTAGTTTGATTGAATGGCTATATAGTTTATATAGCAAAGTGTGTGTTTGCATGTGTGTGTATGTGTGTGTGTGTGTGTGTGTGTGTGTACTCTGTGTTTCATGTACTCACAACTGTAAACCTACTTCCCTGCTCTCCCTCTCCCCCCAGGTACAGAGGGTAAGCTTAGCTTGAGTGAATTCTCCCCCTTCTCAGCATCTCCATCTCCACCCAGCATCCACTGCTTCCCTGCCATGGGCTCCCCTCCCCCCAGCAAGTCTGGGAGGAAATCCAGCCTGTAAACTAATCACTCGCAGGCGCCAGTGGCTAATTGTGTCACTAGATTCTTATCTAGGAAATTGCACAACAAACCCAGCCCCACCTCCACTCCGAGTATTGTTCATTTTGAAAAAAGATTTGGGGAACAGATTTTGTTTACCATGAATTTCCGACTCCAGACACACACATGCAGGGGCAATCTTTTGGGGCAAAGGAGAGTTTCCCCCAAATTCCAAGTAACACTGAAGATGAGTGTCTGGCCTGGCTGTGCAGATCCGCCCTATGGCCAGGAGCAGGGCTGCTGCCTGGTGTGAAGCTGTGGCAGGGGCCTTGCCCTACTTGACTGTCATCTAAGATTAGTTTTCATTCACAAGTGATGGCCCATTGTGCTCCGCCTCACTTGTCATCTGCAGAGATTTGCTATGATTTAAGCATCTAGAATCTTTGCACAACTAATTTTTGCAACCTCCTACTCGATGCAGAAATGCCTTCTATAAGATTCTAGAGAGTCACCCAGAAGTTATTAGACTCCCTTCTGTGTCAGGAAGCTCATGCTCTCCTCTTCATGACTACTCCTTTGTAATGATCATGCACACTGGTCGCCTATGGGCTGGACTGGCCTGCACAGTGTTTAGAATGTTCTTTTTCATATCTTGTTCTTAATTTTTAAAATCCAGTTTTTGAGTAATATATTCACACGGTCCAAACGATAAAACAATCTAGAGTGAAAAGTCTCCTTCTCCTCCTCATCCCCCAGCCATGACTCTTCTTTCTAAAGGAGTTGCCAGCATTTTGAAATTGGGAGCTATCATGTGAAAATACAGGTTTTTCATTTCTCTTAAAAATTGTTGGATTTGACAACTAAGGGCCCATGTCCTCATTTGGTAACAACTTGTTAGAGCCTACGATCTGCTCCTGTGTTCTTCGGACAAGACACAAAATCTCCAGTTGGGCACAGAGTCCACCTATTCTACTTCCCTGGCACTTTTTAAAAAATATATTTTATTGATATTTTACAGAGAGGAAGGGAGAGGGATAGAGAGTTAGAAACATCGATGAGAGAGAAACATCCATCAGCTGCCTCCTGCACACTCCCCACTGGGGATGCGCCCGCAACCAAGGTGCATGCCCTTGACTGGAATCGAACCTGGGACCTTTCAGTCCACAGGCCAACCCTCTATCCGCTGAGCCAAACCGGTTAGGGCTCCCTGGCTCTTTTTGACATCCTTCCCCCTTTTGACAGTTGAGTTTGTGATCAGTGCTTATTCTTTCTTATGGCTAAAGTCACTTCACTGTTGTTTATACCCAAGTTGGTTTTTACTTTTGCCCTCTAAGTCTTTTCAGAATCTTCCTAGCTCACGCCTTTTTATTCCTGAATAGCTAATCTTTTCATTCTCTTAACAGTGTTTTTCATAGAACAAAAGTCTTAAATTTTGTTGCAGTCTTTCTTCTTCTGTGAATCATGCTTTTGGTGTCATGTCTTGGTGTTATTCAACTTTATTCTTCTTTCTCAAAAGTCTTTTTTATATACTAGTTCCTTTGCCTTTCCATGTAAATTTAGACTTACAGTGATTATATCACCAAAAACTCCTCCTCGGATCTTGGTTGAAATTACATTAAATTTATTGACCAAGTTAGGGAGAACTGGCATTTATATTATGTTGAATCTTTCAATCTATTTGCATGGTTTCTCTTCCCATTTATTTATATTTTCTTTGATTTCTTTTAGCATCATTTTGTTTTGTTTTAATATTTTTATTGATTTCAGAGAAGAAGGGAGAGGGAGAGAGAGATAGAAACATCAATGATGAGAGATAATCATTGACTGTCTGCCTCCTGCAGGCCTCATACTGGGGATCGAGCCCACAACCTGGGCATGTGCCCTTGACCAGAAATGAACCTGGGATCTTTCAGTCCTCAGGCCCATGCTCTATTCACTGAGCCAAACTGACTAGGGCTAGCATCATTTTGTAGTTTTCATCATGTTGATCCTGTATATGTTTCATACCGGTACTTAACTTTTTCATTCGCTTGGATTTATTGTAAGTGGTATTTTAAAAATAATTTGGTTAACAGTTATTTATTGCTACTATATGGAAGTAAGATTGATTTTTGTGTGTTGACCTTGTAGTCTATATCTTTGCTAAACTCTTTCATTAGTTCTAGGAGGTTTCTTTGTTTGTTTTCTTGTTTTGGTAGATTCCTTGAAATTTTTTTCAAACAATCATGTTACCTCCAAAAAAAGAACAGTTTTGTTCCTTCTTTAAAATTTGTATTCCTTTTATTTAAGTGTCTTGCCTTATTGCACTGATTATGACTTGCAGTGCAATACTGAATATGAGAATTGAGAGGGAACATCCTGCCTTGCTCCTGACCTTCAGGTGAAAGCATTCAGACTTTCACCGTTAAGCACGATGTTAATTGTAGTTTTTTTCTGTAGATGGCTTTTATCAGGTTGAGGACATTTCCTTCTATTCCTAGGTTGCTGAGAATTTTTATCATGAATGGATGTTGGATTGTGTCAAATATTTTTTCTGCATCAATTTATATGATCATGTAGTTTTTCTTCTTTAGACTGTTATAGTGAATTACATGGATTGTTTTCCAAATGTTGAATAGCTCTGCATTCTCTGTATGAAGTCCATTTTATTGAAGATTTTTGCTTCTATTCTCACAAGTGGTATTGGTCTGAAAATTTCTTTTGTTTTATTTTCTTCATCTGGGTTTCATATTAGTCAGTGGAGCTTCATAAAATATGTTGGGAATTGTTCCCTCTACTTCTATTTTCTAGAAGTGATTTATAGAATTGGTTTATTTCTTCTTTGAATGTTTGGTAAAATTTGCAAGTTAAATTATCTGGGCCTGCAGATTTCTCTTTTTAGAAAAATTTAAACTATGTTAATAGATTTATAGGACTGTTCAGGTTACCTATGTCGTGTTGGGTGAGTTTTAGTAGTTTGTGCCTTTCAAGAAATGGGGCAATTTTACCTGTGCTGTCAAATTCATGTGTGTAGATTTATTTATATTATTCTCTATCCTTTTAACATCTGCAGTCTTTGTAGTGATATCTTCTCTTTTATTTCTGATATTGGTGACTTGCTTTTCTTCTTTTCCTGTCAATCTTGCCAGAAATTGCTCAATTTTATTGATCTTTTCAAATACATTTTCACTGATTTTTCCTACTGTTTATCTGTTTTCAATTTTTATTTATTTCTGCCTTGATCTTTATTAATTTCTCCCTTCTACTTGCATTGGGTTTATTTTGGTCTTCTTTCTCTACTTTCTTAAAGAGTAAGTTTAAGTTACTGTTTCCCAGTCCAGTTGCATTATATTTGGAGAACATGCTTTTAGCTAAAGATGATGCCCATTTCTGACGAAAAACCATACACTTTGGTGTCAATTTCATGAGCATTTCTTGCCGATGGTAACAACGAAAATCTTTTCATTGGTAATAGAAATTAATAAATGACAGCTGAACAAAGTCCATTTTCTTTTGGCAGGTGGTCTGACTGACAGCTTGGGTAATTTGAAGAATCTTATGAAGCTGATGCTGGATAACATTAAGATGAATGAGGAAGATGCAATAAAACTAGGTTAGAGTTTTTCTCTTTTTTTATTAATGTAAGTTTGAGAATAACAACAGTTAACTCAGTCTACACAAGGCAAGGATGCCTGTATGCATTTGTGACTGCATCGGTTTTCCGAGACATTTTTCTCCACCCGTATAGCACCATTTTATGTAAATTGTACAGCACTAGATGGTAACCCTTTGGAGAACAGAAGCCATGGTATGTTTTATCTTCCTGGTTGATTGACTTTGCTTGCATTTAAAGCATAGAAACAACGTAAATGTTTAAGCTGTGGTTTTATAACTAAGCAAAGCTTCAGAAATCATTGGCTATATTTGTATTTAAAGCAAATAAACAATATTAAAAAGATTATACAGTAGTTTTATAATTAAATAAAACTTAGAAAGTAGAATGGAACATAACAATGAATGTGGATCAGGGAAAACAGAAGCAGAACACGTGATCTGCCTTCTAGGACAGGGAGGTTTCCTGTTGAAGCTGTTTTTCAACAGCTTTGCGGGGGGGCGCAAAAACACCTACCTGAGACAATCTGATGTTCTTCCCCCCACATTTGAGACCTCAGTTAAAGGCTCCTCAGTCTTCTCTTTTGCATTCTGCTTGCCTAAAAACAACCCTATAATTAAAACATGACTGACTTTTTTTCATTAGATAGCTTCCACAAGAATAATCAAATTAATTCGGTGTTCAGTGAACATTTACTGCATGCCTGTGAGTTACACAGAATATCAGAGGTTGAAGGAGCCTGAGAACATCTAGACTAATTTTTTTTTTAAATTTTAAATGTTATTATTGATTGCAGAGAGAGGAAGGGAGAGGGAGAGAGAGAGAGAGAGTAACATCAGTGATGAGAGAGAGTAATTGATTGGCTGCCTCCTGCACACCCCCACTCCTGGAAACCATGCCTGCAACCTGGGCACGTGCCCTGACTGGGAATCAAACTGTGACCTCCTAGTTTATGGGTGGATGCTCAACCACTGAGTCACACTGGTGGGGCTAGCTTTCCTATTTTACTTCCACTGGAAGCTAGAACAGTTTATTGACTTGCCCAAGTTCTCACCAATTGGTAGAAAGGGCGCAAAAACACCTACCTGAGACAATCTGATTCTACTGTTAAGGAATCAGTCTGGACGTGAATAAACGAGTCTAAATGTACTATTCATCGAAGAGTTACTGTGCAATCGGCTAGACAGTAGGCACACCAGGCACTTTGACATCTTCTCATTGACTCCTCACAATAGTCCTAGTACACAGGTATAATTATCCCTAAAACCACAGCTAAAAGGTTGAATCACTTGCTTACACTCACACAATTATTAAGTACAGGATCCAGGAACCAAACTGACTGCAAAGCTCATGCTCACAACCTCTGAGCTACATGTACTCCCAAGACAACAATTAATATTCACCTTCTATGTGCCAGGCACCACACTAAATACATTACATACCTTATCGGCCACCTTCCCAAAGCTCTGCAAAGTAGTTACTAAAACAGTACATGTCTTTCCTCTAGGTTAGAATACCATCAAGATAAAGCACTATTTTAATGACACAAAGGTATGCCTAATCAATCCAGGGACATTTTAGAACGTTTTCACTTGTACTACTGATAGGAGATCAATCTTTCTCCCGGTTAACATGCTGCATTGGATGTGGTCTTCGTTGTGGAGCACCAGGAAGGCCCCGAATCACGCAGTCCTAGCAGAGCCCTGTGAACAGTTACCATAGAAGCACACCAAGGAACTCAAGTCCCCATGCTGCCCTTTGGATTCTAAGATTTTTGAAGGGTTTAAAGAGACAGTGCTCACTCAGAAAACCTATTTCTATGAAAAAAGTTGTGGTATACTTGGATACCCATACATGGATACCCATTAAAATACTGCACATTTAAAATAAAAAATAAAAAAAATACTGCACATTTACTATAGGTTTTCTCATGCTACCAAGAGAATGACCTCCACAAAAGAGATTGTATGGCCCAGGAGACTGGAAAGTGAGAGTTGAAAGAAAATCTGCTCTCTTTGGCTTTTTACAGGAAGAGCATGGCAAGGGCAATTGTTCATTGCCTTCTTTTCAGCCATTCATCTATGGTGAAATCAAATTAACTTGGTACCCTAACGCATTTCCTTTCCTTCTATTTGCAGCTGAAGGTCTGACAAACCTGAAGAATATGTGTTTACTTCGATTGACCCACTTGTCTGACATTGGGGAGGGAATGGATTATATAGCAAAGTCTTTGTCAGCCAAACCCTGTGACCTTGAAGAAATCCAATTAGTCTCCTGCTGCCTGACCGGAACGGCTGTGAAAACCCTAGGTAACTGTTGCCTGCACTGACTGAGAAGTGTGAGAGAAGATGTGGTGCTTCCACAGTAATTCATGCATGCTAAGTCTCTCAAGCTGCAATTTAATTTTCAGAGAAACTGGAAAAGATAATGAAGACATCTGGGTAATATCTAGTCTGTTTTAAATGATTTTCTCCACAATTAGATTAAAAATGGATTATAGATGGAGAATAGAGAACTTCAAACTAATTGAAGATGTTATAATTTTAAGTGAAGGTAAAGAGGAAGAAATTAAGAAGTAGGTGCTTGATGCTTGACATATGTCCTGTTATATAGTAACTGCTTAATAAGTATTTGGATGGATGAATAAATAAATGGTTGAGAAGCAGAGAGAGGGATTTCCTTAAATGCGGTCAGGCCTTCTAATTCTTCCCCATTGCCCTATATTAACGTGCATTAATGTAGGCATTGCGTATTTGAGTTCCCAAAGAGTGCGCATACTAAGTATGAAAAAAACCTTTGCATATTAGTGGATAAACTGGATTATGTTATACTATGATGTTTCTTAAATTTAGATTTTGAGGGGAAATAGTATAACCTTTTTAAAAAACAAATAGACAATATAAGCCCTAGCTGGTTTGGCTCGGTGGATAGAGCGTCGGCCTGTGGACTGAAGAGTCCCAGGTTCAATTCTGGTCAAGGGCATGCACCTTGGTTGCAGGCACATCCCCAGTAGAGGGTATGCAGGAGGCAGCTGACCGATGTTTCTCTCTCATCGATGTTTCTAACTCTCTATCTCTCTCTCCCTTCCTCTCTGTAAAAAATAAATAAAATATATTTTAAAAATATATAAAACTGATGGAGAAAAGAAAAAACACACACAAAAACAAACAAAAAAGAAGAAAAAGGACTGATGGAGTCTGTAGGAATTACTGAGATTACTTTATATGCTAATATGAATCAAAACCTAGAGAAATCCATGATTGGCGAAGGCTAGCAAGCACTGGGAACATGAGAATGAAGAGCACACTCCCTTACTCTCCACCTGCCACTGGGAGGAGCCAGCTTGTAACTAACAATAGCAGCCATCCCCTTTTAGGTGGAGTCCGTGGGCTTGTTAAAGCACCAAACTTCAGAATATATTTTACTCTAAGAAAAGGATTCATAGGATTGATTTTAAAAAATACTAGCTAGTATTGTAACAAGAGTATAATGCATGCAAAACGACTAATTTTTTAAAGATTTTTCTAATCAGTCTTGATAGGAAAAACTTCAACTAGATTAAGCAACCATGATAAATACAGGTATCCTCACTATCAGAAAGTAGAGCATTCCTAAGAAACCTTTTTTTAAAAATAAATTGTTTATAACTTTAAAAATATATATTTTATTGATTTCAGAGAGGAAGGGAGAGGGAGAGAAATAGAAACATCAATGATGACACTGTCAGTTATTATTAGTGTTTTATTATTATTTTATAATATAACATGTTATATGCAATATGTTCTTAAACATATTGCAGCATGTTATATTTCTTCTATGTTCTTAAAATGTTTAATTTTAAAAATTAGGCCTAGTTGGTTGGCTCAGTGGATAGAGTGCCAGCCTGTGGACTGAAGGGTCCAAGTTTGATTCTGGTCAAGGGCACATGCCCGGGTTGTGGGCTTGATCCCCGGCAGGGGGCATGCAGGAGGCAGCCAATCAATGATCCTCTCTCATTACTGATGTTTCTATCTCTCTCTCCCTTTCCATGTCTCTTTGAAATAAAAATATATTAAAAAGAAAAATTTTTTAAAAAAGAAACATCAATGATGAGAGAGAATCATTGATCGACTGTCTCCTGCACACCCCCCACTGGGGATCAAGCCTACAACCCAGGCATGTGCCTGACCTGGAATCAAACCATGACCTCCTGGTTCATGGGTCGATGCTCAGCCACTGAGCAACACTGGCTGGGCCCTATGAAACCTTCAATAAGCTAATAGGGCATTAAGCAAATAAGCAATTACCATTCATCTTTATGGAGCATTTTCGAGCATCCCCAGACTCCAAAATGACTTCTCTTAGGCTTTTCTTATACCTTAGGACACACTTGCTAACAGGTGCACAATAAATCAAGATAAAGCACAGATGCTCACAGACACAGCTCAAAGCTCTGGCGGTTTGATGCTGAAATGCGGAGTGTAGTTCCCAGGAAGGAGCTTGGCTGCGCCACTCTGGATGCCTCTATAAGGCTCTCTGCAAAACAAACATTGAATGTTATTTTTGCTTTTCGCTTTTTTTTTTTTTTTTTTTTTTGGTAAAAGCAAGGCGAAAATCCTCTTTGGGTTTCTTTCAGTTAGCGAAGTGGCATAACTGAACTGTGGAAAGGGGGCAAGTAACCTGTATCTGTAGTGAAGAAAATAACTAAGCAGCTCTTAGCTAGAGCGGTGGCATTTTGTGACTAATGTTCTCATTAAAATTTTTATTATTAACATCACAGCTATAACAAAATAATCTAAACTGAGGTACACAAACAACAGCCCATCTCATTGGTTTTCGTTCCTTCATCTCTCCTGCATGAGAAGAGCATTTAAGAATTGGAAGCAACCTGACATTTCCTCTAGTTCCTCTTCCCCGTTCTCACGATGAAGACACGGAGGCGTAGAGAAACGGAGTGACTTTCCTATAGTGACATAACAACTCTAGTCCATGCTGCTTTAGGCTTTACTGAGTATTAATGACCATTTTACCTTTAGGCTGAAGTTTATTAATCAGAATTTAGGACCAGGAAATATCTGTCCATTTGGTCACAGTCATGGGAGTAGCCAGATACTTTTGATAATAGCTAATCAAATCTAATACAGATTCGTATACTCTCAACAAAGAAGACAAGGGCTCAGAATTCTTATAAGGATATTTTTAAATGCATATAGAATTCCCTGACAGTCTTTTTCTTTTGGATTAAATTTTTTTTTTCCAGCTCAGAATCTTCACAATTTGGCCAAACTGAGCATTCTTGATTTATCTGAGAATCACCTGGAAGAGGATGGAAATGAAGCTCTCCGTGAACTGAGTAAGAATGACCATTTTGCCTTAAAGATGCACCTTAAGGAAGTCAGTAGCCCTTTTTTAAATTGTCCTTAAGGAACACAGGCCAGGCTTTTGAGTCACCAGTTTTCACATGCTCACTGCACCTGTGGCTCCCACCTGCTTGGCTCCTTCTATAGAGCCAGTGTCTGAGAATAGGGGATGCCTAAGACAAATTGGCTCAAGGAGTTAGTAATAAGATTTTTAAGATGTGATCAAGACATCCTGATTGTTGCTGTTTTTTAAAAAAACAACAACCTGATACTAAAAAAGAAAAAGAAAAACCTGATACTTACTGTCTGAGATTTCCTTCGGAATAAGACAGGAGGGAAGGAATTTGGTGAGGATAAAGCAAACATCCATGATTTGCTGTTTGTTAAAAGTTGGCGTATAGTACTCATAGCTTCATTGTACTGTCCTGCATGGCGTTTATATATTCTTGAACACTTTCCATAAAATGCTAACCAAAAAGCGAGTTGATTCTCACTGCACATTGAGTAGGCTGCAGAGAGAAAGACCACTCCTTCTCCTTTATCACTTCGTCCTTCATCAGTTTTGAGATGGATCCAGTTCCTGAACTGTCTCTGGTTCCTCAAGTTGACAGGCTGCACGTGTTGGAACAACTCACTGTGCTGATGCTGCCCTGGTGCAATGATGTGCGCATCAGTCTGACCAGGCTGCTGGAGCAACTGGAGGGGGCCCCACAGCTCGTCAAACTTGGGCTGAAGAACTGGAGGCTCACCGATGCAGAGATTGGAATTCTAGGTAGGTACACACACAGAGCCAGGAGAACTTGGTCCTAACGAAGTTCTTAAGCTGACTCTCTTTCTTCTTTCCTTCCCCCTCTTGTCCTTCCTCCTCCCTGCCCTCCCTTCCTTCCTTTCTTTCATGCCTTTTTAAATTTATTTGCCTCCTCCCCCTTTAAAAAAATTTTTTTATTGATTTTAGAGAGAGGGAGATAGAACCATCAAAGAGAGAGAATCATTAATTGGCTGCTTCCTGCACGCCCCCTACTGGGGGATTGAGCCCACAACCCAGGCATGTGCCTGACTGGGAATCAAAATGTGACCTCCTGGCTCATGGACCAATGTTCAACCACTGAACCACACCAGCCCGGCTGCCTCCCCTTATTTTTCTGTACAAATATATTTAAAGAAATAACATGATTTAAAACACTGACCTGCTTTCAGGTTTTTAAGCATTTTAACTTCAGTATTTACATTATTTGACAAGGTGTATTATGTAGAAACAGCTCTCCCTACCCTTAACTGTCTGAAATTCAGCAATGCCACTCCAATCTTGGCCAAAGTTTTTAAGTCACCTGCTGCGTATTCAAAACATATAAAGGTAAGTGCCGCTTTAACTGGTGTCACAGAATATCTGTAAGTAGCTGTGATTAATCCCAGAAACAAATGGAGATATACGAATGACTGAACACCAGCCTCAGGCAGCTGATGAAGGAACCTCATGCTACCTGGATTAGTTATCAAGTTCTGTGGAACAGACCACCCCAAAAACTGGTGGCTTAAAACAACTATAGACCTTACGTCACAGTTCCTGTGAGTCAGGAGTTTGGGAGAGGCTCAGCTGGGTGGTTCTGGTTTAGGCTCTGTCATGAAGCTGCCGTCCAGATACGGGCTGGGCTGCTGGAGGATCTGCTTCCTGGGTGGTTGGTGGGTGAGTGCTGGCTGTCAACTGGAGGCCTGTGTCCCACCCCTGGACTTCTCCAAAGGCTACTTGAGTGTCCTCCCCACATGGTAGCTCACTTCCCCCAGAGCAAGAGATCTAAGAGAGAACCAGTTGGAAGATGCAATGCTTTTTATGACCTAGTCTTGGAAGGTCATACCTGCTGCATCCTATTATTAGCCAGGTTAGCCCTAGCCAGTGCGGAAGGAGATGATACATGGGAGTGAGTTCTAGGCGGTGAGGATCCACCTTGAAGGCCACTGTACCATCTAAGGCAGCAGTTCTCAATCTGTGGGTCGCGACCCCTTTGGGGGGCAAATGACCCTTTCACAGGGGTCGCCTAAGAACATCGGAAAACACATATATAATTCAATATTGTTTTTGTGATTAATCACTATGCTTTAATTATGTTCAATTTGTCACAATGAAAATACATCCTGCATATCAGATATTTACATTATGATTCATAACAGTTAGCAAAATTAGTTATGAAGTAGCAATGAAAATAATTTTATGGTTGGAGTCACCACAACATGAGGAACTGTATTAAAGGGTTGCGGCATTAGGAAGATTGAGAACCATTGATCTAAGGCAAAGGATTAGTGAAAACAGCCTCGCCTGCCTTCTCCATTTCCCTCACAGATGGTCTAGCTAGCATCTATCTGCAGGGCACATATTTTCAGTGTACAATTCTGTGGCATTAAATACATTCACACCATCTTTTTCATCTTTTCCGACTAAAACTCTGTACACATTAAACACTAACTCCCCACCTGCTCCTCTTTTTAAAGCCACCATCACCATCCTTTTCATCTTTTCCGACTAAAACTCTGTACACATTAAACACTAACTCCCCACCTGCTCCTCTTTTTAAAACCTTCTCTCTTAGAAATGTGTGTGTCTCTAAGTCCCTAGGCTGCCCAAGGGTTTTGCCTTCCCTAAAGTTGCTTCAAGTTATGGATTTTCCTTTCCTTTATTCCTTCTCCCCAACCCGGCACCCCAAGTCAACTTTCTTAGCACCTTCCCTTAATTCCTAACTCCACTTCCATCTGCTCTATCTACTCCCTTAACTCATCAAATCAGATCATCCTGGGTGTCATTCTTCAGGCCCCTCCTCTGTTCTGGGTGATATTGGAGACAGGTGGCTTCCATGACAAACTAATTACCTAGCTAATAAATAACCCCTCTCAGGTAACCTCATACCTTAATCAGTAGTTCTCAACCTTCTGGCCCTATAAATACAGTTCCTCATGTTGTGACCCAACCATAAAATTATTTTCGTTGCTACTTCATAACTGTAATGTTGCTACTGTTATGAATCATAATGTAAATATCTGATATGCAGGATGGTCCTAGGCGACCCCTGTGAAAGGGTCGTTCGACCGCCAAAGGGGTCGCGACCCACAGGTTGAGAACCACTGCCTTAAGTGCTTTGGAAAGGATGTATCTTTTCAAAGAGGCCATTGGAGAGTGTGTAGAATTAGCATTACATGTGACAGAGGCATTTTTAGGTAGAGACGTTTTAGCATTTTCCAAATCTTTAAGTAGGTAGCTGCCTAATCTGCCTACTTCTGAGCCTGGCCTGTGAGACCAGAGAGGGACATGGTGTGTTTAATGAAATAAAAACTGAGCTAGGTGAAAAAACAAACACAAAAACACTGAGCTAGGTGGTAATCGCCACGTGATTTTAATTGCCTAGTGCCTTATTGCCTCCTTATGTAAATGAGAGAAATAAGCATAACTGAAGACTCAGCATAATTATGGATCTAGCAGACTTCCTGAGTGCTTGTGGGTAATTGTGAAAGGTGGGATTACATGATAGCTCCAAATGGCAGGTTAATTAAGTTAATGTTGGCACTTCCCCTTTTAAAAAATAGATATATATTTTATTGATTTCAGAGAGGAAGGGAGAAGGACAGAAACATCAATGATGAGAATCATTGATTGGCTGCCTCCTGCACACCCCTGCTGGGGACGGAGCCTACAACCCTGCATGTGCCTTTAATTGGAATCGAACTCGGGACCCTTCAGCCCCCAGGCCAATGCTTTATCCACTGAGTCAAACCAGCGAGGGCAGCACTTCCACTTTCTTAAAGACATGCTTGATCATTTCTGCCAACTCAAGCTCTAGCTGCCTATTATTTGCCTTGTCCCCTTCCCATATCCATCTCTTGAAGTCGCCCAAGAAAGTCCCCTGGCCCACAGTAGCAGCAGGCAATTTAGGCAATGACATTGAGCGATGGATATGTGTACGGATGCAGTAGCATAACGAAGCAAATGTAATGAGAGACAGTCTCTCATGAAAGAAAGACTGCCTAATTAGATGCAGCGAGAACATGAGATGCGGGGTATGAAATTAGATGCGGGGTATGAAATTAGATACAGTGGTTGGCATGTGCTTTCCTGGAAAAACCCCAAGCCTGGATCGGCCTTAATTTCCCTCTTTTTCTGTACCTACACTCAGGCTACTGGGGAAAATCACACAATTTGGCAGATAGGTACACTACAGGTTCATAGTGACAAATTTCAACAGAAATATTTAGAACCAAATGGTAAGAAAACACTATATATCAAAACTTGTGGCATGCAGCAAAAGCAGGGCTTGAAGAAAATTCTCATAGCCTTAAATACTTACACTAAAGATGAAGGGCTGAAAATGAATCTTTCTAAATTATTAGTAAGAAGCCAATAAAAACAAAAAAACAGGGAGTAAACACATGATAATAAACATATAGGTGTACCTCACTGTATTGCACTTCGCTTTATTGAGCTTCACAGATGTTGAGTTCTTTACATATTGAAGGCAACACCCTCCACCAGCAAAAAGACAATTCCCTTCTGGAACGGAAACTGGGCAACCAATGGGTCCGGGCTGCCTGTCACTACCTAAGCCAGTTAAGCAGACAGTGCTGAATCATATATGAGTGTTTATTGCAATAATGCCAGCAGTATGGGAGCCAGCTGCTTATGTGGGGTAGGAGGACAAAGATTACAGAGGAAAGTAGGAATTAGAAGCATGGGGAAGTAGGCAAGGTTACGGGCAATGCGGGCTGGGGGGTCGCAAAGGGACCAGATTGCTTCAGCATCCAGGTTGCTAATCTTTCCATGAAGATAGGCGGTTCTTGGAAAAGGAGAATGGACTGCATTCCGATGTTAATGCCCATGTCCTGGGGCATACAACTCTCAGCCAGGTTAGAATGTGCTTTCTCTAATCAGAACAGATCCATCACGGTTAACAGAGCATGATTAATATTTCTTATAATTATAGCTAGTCTCCATTATTCTATTTCTGCCCCTAAGAGAACCACACCTGCAGCATTTACAAGGTCTGCTTGTATAAATCAGTGAAACAGAAAACAAAGATTAATTAAGCTTAAAATTGATCCTTTAAAAAGAATAACAAAATAGATAAAAATCAAGCAAGACTCTTCAAGAAAGAGGGACATAATTTCATTAGTCAATATGGAGACACAAGCATGTTTGTAGTAGCTTTACTGAGTATCGCCCCAAACTGAAGGCCACTGAGATGTCCTTCAGTAGGTGAATGGATGAACAAACTGGTACAGCCACACAGTAGTGTATCATTCAGTGGTAAAAAGAAATGAGCTATTAAGCCTGGAAGAGACATAGGGAATGTCAGGGGCTCAGGAGGAGGTGAGAAAGGGTTAAGCAGATGCAGCTCTGTTTTAGGGCAGTGGAACTATTCTGCATGATACTGTAATTGTGCATACACAACAGTATGCATTTGTTAAAACCCATAGAACTTTACTACACAAAGAGTGAACCTTAATGTATGCAAACTAAAAAATCATTTAGGAGGTCTGAGATACCTGAGGACAAAATGCAGACTGCAAAACAACCTAACTATATTATAAACTATGAAACCATCTCACTGTAGGGAATAAGTGGTAAGGAAATTGACCTAATAACTTGGGAAATTATCTGTGAAACTAAAGGCAAAATAGCCCAGCTGGCATGGTTCAGTGGTTGAGTGTTAACCTATGAACCAGGGGGTCACAGCTCGATTCCAGGTCAGGCACATGCCCGGGTTGTGGGCTCGATCCCCAGTGAAGGGGTGTGCAGGAGGCAGCTGATCAATGATTCTTATCATTGATATTTCTGTTTCTCTCTCCCTCTCCCTTCCTCTCTGAAATCAATAACCACAGCACCCATCTAATTTATAACGTATATTTTCACACTATATTGTAAGCCCAATAAGACAGGGACTACGTCTGCCCTTTTCAGCTATCCCCAGCCCCTAGCGAGCACAATCCATGGTACACAGTAGGCACTCAAAAATGTTTGCAGAATGAAAAACTGGTAAGAGCTCTGGCAATGCTAGAATTTTGTTTAGGATGCAGGAACCTGTACTGCACCAGCACAGCCAGGTTTGGTGAGCCTGAGATGGGGTGGTGAAGAATTAGAAAAGATAGACAAGAGAAGAAAGCTGGGTCTGGGTGGGGCGCTGCTGCCCTTTCTGATGGAGAGACAGTGCCAAGGCCTGCAAGCCGAGTCTTTATTTTATAGCCAGATTCCAGGAGCCAAAGTAAGGGCGTGGTCAAGATGTTTACAACATTCTTGTGGGTTTTGAATCTACTCATTACATGCACCTGATCAAGCTCTGTTTACTTGCTGCACAACCCACAGCCCATATCACTCAGCCACGTGGGACCACAGGTTCTGACCATAACCTGTCCAAACACTGTAGCCGCTCTCCAGAGGAACCCTTCAAGGATCGGAATCCTTCTACCCAGAGCATTTGAGATTCTGCTTGGAATTTGGATCAAGCCACTTCCATTCTCCACAGCCCACGCACAGCCCACAGCGTTAAATGTCAGATTTCTTTTCCCTCAGGACCAGTCTGCTCATCGTGATGACAAAAACACTGCAGATTACATGACCAGAATGCATGCCCTCAGATCATGCTTGTTGTTCCCGTGCTTGCACACGTTCTAATGAGTATCCAAGGAGTTCTTACTGATGCCTTTCCTAAACCTTAGTAGATTGTCTGTATAAATAGTTCATCTCTGAGGGTGGAATGGGCTTTAAATTCTTTTTAAAGTTCCCTTCAGGTGGTGGAATCTGGTCTTCTAGTCAAGGAGTAAAGAAGTTGCTCTTTGGGGCAGGATCCTTACAGACACTGACAACCAGCATTTTGACGGAGTGCATGCCATGCTGGGAAGCACATGAAAAAGGCAGAGACAGAAAGAGCAGGGAGAAAGCTACCTATAAGGAAAAAACAAGGGCTCCTTATGAGAAGTAGAGGTGAAACCGAGTCCCTACGTATGAGTTGGGCTGGACACAGGCTAAGCTGGTATAACAAGACCCAACTACACCATGGCTTACGGAAGACTAAGCTTATTTCCCTGTCCTCGACTGCTCCAGGGTGGATTTGCTCTTTGCAGTCTTCCAGACCCAGAAACCTACATTTTTTAATTCCTCCATTCCTTAGCGAGTTATCTCTGACTTCAAGGTCATGGCTCGAACATCCACCTTCCCTTTGTAGGAGGTACTTTAGAGTGCCCTGGTCTGTAAGGAATGGAGGAGGTTCCTGAAGAGTCCAGGGAGGGTTAAAAGAACAACCCCGAAACCCAAATCTTGAGACACTGTAGGAGGCTTATTTATTCAAGTTTACAGTGAGGGGCATTCGATACCCAAGAAACAACAGGTAGTGTTTGCTTCTCAGAAGAGACAATGATCTAAGATTACTGGGAGTTTGACTCCAGTTTTGAAAATAAGTACTGAATATTTAATAGCATCTTTTGCACTTAAATTTTTAAGCAATCTTCCATTTCCTGGAAAGGTCAGAAAAAGGGAAAAATATATAATTCATTTATAATGGTTTGCTAATATAAAGGAATTATACTAATTAAATCAACTCTATTTACATTATAGATGCTATTTTAAACAGTTGTTATAAATTATATTAATTACGAGGGGCCCAGTGCACAAATTCGTGCACCTTGAAAGGAACTGTGGGCCAAGAGGCTGCAGTAGGCACAGAGGTGGGTCTCAGCCCATCCTCCGTGCCCCCGCCCGGCCCCTCCCACTGCAGCCCCCAGTCCCTTGTCTGCCAGCATCCCTGCTCCAGGCAGGCGCCAGCAGTGGTGCGAGCGGCAGTTGCTGCCAAGATCGCCCCTCAGGAGCAGGGGGAGGTGGAGAAGCCCTCAGGGACGATCAGGACCAGCAGCTGCCACTCACACCCGCTGATGGTGCCAAGCCATCAGGACCAGCGCCGGGCACTGGCAGTGGGTGCAAGTGGGGCCGTCGCTGGCAGAGGGTGCGAGCAGCGGTTGCCGGCCCCAATCTCCCCTCAGGAGCAGGGGGAGGTGGAGAAGCCCCGAGGGGCGATCAGGGCTGGCAGCCGCTGCTTGCACCCGCTGATGGCACTGAGTGATTGGGGCCAGCGCCGGGGCCGGCAGTGGGTGTGAGCACCAGGTGGGACCACAACGTGCGGGAGCAAAGAATTTTCAGTAACCACCAGAAGTGGGGCCGTCGCTGGCAGAGGGTGCGAGCAGCGGTTGCCGGCCCCAATCTCCCCTCAGGAGCAGGGGGATGAAAGCGACCGGGTGCCTCACCTTGGCCTGGCACCCCCATTTACCTGCTCCACCATCCTGCCACGGCCGATGCCCACCATGGTCCATGCACACCCCCTGGTGGTCAGCACATTTCATAGCGACCAGTTGTTCAGTTTTGGTTGTTCCACCGTCTGGGCTATGTACATATTAGACTTTTATTATATAGGATAATTACATTATTTAATTATACTGGTTAATTAAATACTAATTACTATTTACCAGATTCCCTTACACTTTACAAATAATGTAATTTGTAAATACAATGGACTACATTCATAATCACTGCCCTATCTATAATTTCGAAAGTAAGGCACTGGTCCAAACATGGCCATTTCTCTTTAAAAAACTGTTTTGCTTCCAACTAAAATACTAATTTCTATTTTTCACCAGGTGCATTTTTTGAAAAGAACCCTCTGAAAAACTTCCAGCAGCTGGATTTGGCAGGAAATTGTGTGAGCAGTGATGGATGGCTTACCTTCATGGGTGTATTTGAAAATCTTAAGCAATTAATGTTTTTTGACTTCAGTACTCAAATATTTCTACCCGATGCAGCATTAGTCAGAAAATTTGGCCATGTGTTATCAAAGTTAACTTTTTTGCAAGAAGCTAGGCTTGTTGGGTGGCAATTTGATGATGATGATGTCAGTGTTATTAAAGGTGCCTTTAACCTAGTAACTGCTTAAATAAAGGGCAAGTTGAGCCCATGAATGCTCTGGGAACTCCATTACTTCCCACCTGGTGATTTAAAAATCTTTGCTCGTATAGTCCAAGGGTCGGAAAGTATACGGCAATTTATTGTCCACCTACAAATTATCCTTATCAACAGTGTCTGCCCAACTCGCCCCTTCTAAACTGCCTCTTCCTTTACTGATATCAGGATGATGTGTGGCACCATGACTTCCTTAGCTGGCCTCTTGCATGGAAAGCTTTCTTATTTGCACCATTCAGGAAAAATAAAAAGAGGATGCCAGGCAAATGAGACCAAAGAAGGGGGGAAGTGGGAGGGAGTTTACTGATGACATGTGCTATAGTTCTGTGTTGCATGATTCCTAATAGGATTATCAGATACTTGAAGGGGACTCTTCTTCATCCCAGGTCCCCTTGGTCTCAAGAATAGCAGGTCATATATGCATACCCATGGACACAGACAATAGTGTGAAGACCTGGGGCTGGGGGTGGGCTAGAATGGGTCAATGGGGGTAAAGGGGGGACATATGTAATACTTTAAACAACAAAGATGAAAAAAAATAGGTCACAATAACTGATATACTGTATGCACATTTACTTAACACAGTGCCTGACATGTACTAGATTCTCAACAAATATTTGCTAAATATGAGAATTAAATTACCAATAAACAGCTATTGAATAAAGAAGCAAGCCACAATTATTTAAAATCATAAAACGCCATGTCTGTTCTTTATTCAAAAAGTTTAATTCAAAGAATTTGGAATGTGAAAAGCATTTTCTTACATGAAAAGCAGATCAGACTCCCAAAAAAGACTGGCTTGAAATTGAGTCCACCCCAGTTGCTGATACATGTAATTTCAACTGTGACTTCAGAGATTAAGGAAGAAATAAAAACACACCCCATTCTTTCATTATTCTATGGAAGCTAAGGGTACTTTGTCCTAATCTTTACTCCAACACCCCACAAAAATAATCCTTTGTGACAGTAAGATTGTTTTCTGGTTTTTTGTTTTGTTTTGTTTTGTTTTTTAAATATATTTTATTGATTTTTTACAGAGAGGAAGGGAGAGAGATAGAGAGCCAGAAACATCGATGAGAGAGAAACATCGATCAGCTGCCTCCTGCACATCTCCTACTGGGGATGTGCCCGCAACCCAGGTACATGCCCTTGACCGGAATCAAACCCGGGACCCTTCAGTCTGCTCCATCCACTGAGCCAAACCGGTTTTGGCTGTTTTCTGGTTTTGATATTACAAAATACATAGGAGCATCGTGTGTGTGTGTGTGTGTGTGAAAATTTACCTGTGATCGATGCCTAGAAGTTGAATTGAAAGAGTCATAGGTTATTTAATCAACAAATGACAAGTGCTGGTGAGGATGCGGAGAAAAAGGAACCCTCGTGCACTGCTGGTGAAAATGCAGACCGGTGCAGCCACTATGGAAGACAGTATGGAGTTTCCTCAAAAAACTAAAAATGGAACTCCCATTTGACCCAGTGATCCCACTTCTAGAAATCTATCCCAAGAAACCAGAAACACCAATCAGAAAGGATATATGCATCCCTGAAAATGTT